GATACTGGCTATTCATAGCTGAGGCAGGATTGGAACCAGCATTCCTGATTGTAAGCACTACGTTTGTGCTGAAACTACCTCGGCCACTGCCTTTGAGGGCCACGTGCCTGACAAAATCGTATGTGGTGTTTCCACATGCCAGCGCTAGACATGGCTCCCTGCAGTCCCTTAACTGGCTGCCCCACCTAGCCAGGAGAGGCCCTTCACAAGCCTTTGAAAACATGCCCCTTGAAAACAAGCCCGTCTCTCTGTAAAGTGGTGCCTTTCAGAACGCCTTTGTCGCCTGGTTATATTTCTCTCTCTATATATACCACTTGCACCGTTATGATAGGTATTTTGTGTTCAACTTAATTAAGACTGTACAAGCTGCCATGCTCAGAAGCCTCCTGCACAAGCGAAGCTCCCAGGCTGTCTTTGCTGCGGTGGCAAGATCTCCATAGCAACGGGGGTGTTTGCTGCCTGCATTCCTAATAGGAGTGACGCTGCTCTTACACTTGCCTATCAGGGAAATTGATTTGAAACTGAATCTATAAATATTGCAGTTACTTGGCCTGCCTGCTAAGCAACTTTCTGTGGTAGCAGCGTGGAGGGGAATTAAAGAATACCAGCCACCTATCTTTTTAGCTTGTCCTGGCTTCACAAGTGTTTCCAAAGGAATCTGCTCAAGCGGCTTTTTCTCAAGAGAAGATGGCTACTTTCTTTCCTCAGCGGAAGAATTTACAGTTAGGTGAGGGTGAAGTAGAGCAGCTGCTGCTGGTAGACACAATCTCCTACTCTGGATTGTTCCTCCACGCCTTGTGCTGTGTCCTAGCTTCACCCTGTTGGGTGTCCCCAGACTCACATCATAAAGCTGGTGTGCGCTTGCATGCAGCAGTCAGAGGGGTAGGCAGGCGAGTGTGAGAACAAGCGCATCCATTCCTGACTGTCAGCTATTTTCTATACCTTCACAAAGCTTTTTAAAAGCCCAAGGCAGCTGTACACAGGAGGGAGAGGAGCGGGCTGTTGCACAGCCGTGGGATTCAAAGGGCTTGGCTCCTGGTGGGATAAAGTCGACCTGTTAGGCTGAAGTGAGCAACTTAAGGGCCCTCTGGATGTTGTTGGACCACAACTCCCATCAGCCCTAGCCAACACAGCCAATGCGCTGGCATATGGGGAATTTCAATTTGTCAAGTAAGTCCCCTGAAAACACAGGTGCACAGCTTTGGGGTATTCCTGGATTCACCTCTGAGCTTGGATGCCCAGGTTTTGGCAGCGGCCAGGAGTGCATTTGCACAATTAAACCAGTATGCCAGTTGTGTCCATGTCTGAAGAGATCAGATCTAGCCACTGTGACACATGCTTTAGTTACTTCCTGGCTGGATTACTGTAATGCACTGTATGTGGGGCTGCCGATTGAAAGTGTCAGGAAACTTCAACGGATCCAAAATGCAGCAACCAGATTGCTGACTGGGGCTGGTTACAGGGATCACATAACCCCCCCCCCCCCGTTACAGCAGCTCCACTGACTGCTGATCTGTTTCCAGACACAATTCAAAGTGCTGGTTTTAACCTTTAAAGCCCTAAATGGTTTGGACCTAAGCTAGCTCAAGGACTGCATCTCCCTTTATAAGCCTGCTTGAGTGCTAAGATCATCATCATCAGATATCATCTTGGTCTCGCCACCTTCACAGGTGCATTTGATGGGGACATGGGAGAGGTCCTTCTCTGGATCATGTGACTCCCCCTGTTATAGCAGCTCCACTGACTGCTGATCTGTTTCCAGACACAATTCAAAGTGCTGGTTTTAACCTTTAAAGCCCTAAATGGTTTGGACCTAAGCTAGCTCAAGGACTGCATCTCCCTTTATAAGCCTGCTTGAGTGCTAAGATTATCATCATCAGATATCATCTTGGTCTCGCCACCTTCACAGGTGCATTTGATGGGGACATGGGAGAGGTCCTTCTCTGATGTTCCTCCCAGACTTTGGAACTCTCTCCCACAGGAGGCCAGAATGGCCCCGTCTCTGCTGTCCCTTCCGCAAGCAGGCAAAGACGTTTCTCTTCGAGCAAGCTTGTGAGGTATGGGCTGGGTAGTGGTGGAGGACAAAATCAAAAGCATTGTCACCCAGTAATTACCCAGTGTTACCCAGGAGAATGTTAAGATTGTGTCTACCAGCAGTCCTTTGGATGCTGTTGCAGTTGTTTTTAAATGAGAAACAGCTTCAGGAGAGGCAGTTGGTGGGAGATGAGAGACAGAGGAAGGGGCTGATTTTTCAGTCACTACATTATTCCTGTCTCTCAGAAGAATTTTGATGTGGGGGAAAAGGCCTAATGTGACTTTTGGGATAGGAAACTTTAGGTTTGCTGCTCCTGGTCAACCTTTACTCACACACCCACAACCTATCTATGTTCTTCAGTTATTTCCTCCTGAGAAATTGTATCCCTCTTTGGGCCCCACTTCAGCCAGCCTACGTACTTTGTTGTGCTCGAGTAACTTCTCATGTTTATCAGTCAAACATTTTAATGCCTACACTCTCCACATACATTTGGCACCACGAAACAGGAGATAAATCTTCATATGTGACACCAGCAGCAGCTAATACAGCCTTTGTGCAAATTCTGAATCTGCTAAGCCCCGGATTGTGGTTTACACTATTAAAATGAATCAGTAGCTGGATCAGGATCTCTAAAATCAGGTTAATGTGGTAGTCAGGTGGTATTTTGGTCAATGTGTGTATCCTCTTGGGAAGACTTTTAATCCATTTTTAAGCTGTGTAATAGCTACATGGACTTTTTAAATGGCTGCAATGGGTTTTGTCCTACATCCCTGCTGCTGTGGTGAGGGAGAAGGAGAGGGAGGGTTTGCTGCTGACAATCTTGGAAAACTTGACTGCTTCTTTCCCTTTAAGAATGTTCCAGCTTTTCCCTGGGAGGTAGAGAGATGCAGCATTTAGAAAAAGAGAGGCACAGAGAAAGAGAGAGCTGCTAGGGACTGGAAGGAGAAAGAAACCAGTGCAGGACTCTTGAAAATATTTTGGCCCTTTTCGGTTCCAAAGAACACCAAGGCAGGATGGACTGTGGATGTATGCAAAGAGGCAAGGAGGGGACTTTGCCAGGCTTGATCCGCCCCCAAAACACTGTCAGATCATGGGTCCCCTTTGTACCCACTACATCACAAAAATAATAGGTCTTTCAATGCATGCCTTTGCAGTGATGCAAAAGCACTGATCCAAAGTGTGGGTTCTCATGGATCAAAATGTTTTTATTTATTTAGGATTATCCCTAAGCCTCTGCCCAATCTGTGGGCAGAGACAGCGTGTGTTTCATATGTCTGAAGAAGGGAACGTGTCTATGAAAGTTCACATTAAAATATAATAGCTAATATTTCAGGTGCCATGTTTTTGTCTTTTTCTTTCTTTCTTTCTTTAGATTTTGCCTGATATGCTTGCACAGACTAGCACGGCTACCTCTTCCAAGATAACAATTTTCTTAATGTAATCAATCTCTTAGCTTGATCTGAGAGAAATGGAGTCTGCTTCCATAGTGAACATATTGCCACTGAAATTATGAACCTCTGTCTGCATCCTAGTTTGACATTCTAGTCTTTCTCTGGTAATCACACAAGGTGAAACTTTTGCTGCATTCTGGGCCCAGCTACATTTGCAGAATGGTAATAGGGAAATGCTACAGGCTGCCCTGGTTTGTACTTAGAAAATATGTTAAGAAAGAGGAAAACAGAAAATACCAACATATTTGCCTCAAAATATCAGTATATCAGCCCCAAGATATCAGAGGCATATTAATTGTATTAGAAACAGGAGGAACATTGGTCACAGAATGTAAAATGGAAACCAGGCAGCAGCACTTTCCAGGCTTGTGACAATAATGTGGAATTAAGTCGATTATGTAATGCACTCACTCACATACCCACAGACATGCAAATATTCTGGGAATATAGATATAAGTCAAAATGTTCTAATGTGGTATATGTAGAACCTTTGAACTAGAGATTACCTGCATTAAGGAAATGAACTTTAAGTTCATAATCTTAGAACTGTGTTTCTTGTTTTTGTTGTCATCTAGGTTTTTTTCTTCTTCTTCACCAAGCAGAGGCTAATGAAGTTATGCACTGAGTATGAGAACTGAAGAGAGCTCAGAGTGTTTCACTTTTTTTAAACTCCCCAGTATAACTGGCTGTCCAAGGGAGTCATTAGTCAATTCCATGGGAACAGACATCTTAATAAGTAAGATGTTTATGAACTATTGTGTGGATTTGGGAGAATTATGTACAGTATCTGTATGTATCTGTATTAGAAACAAGGAAGGGAGATCATTTCCTAAAAACGAACACAAACTCTGGCCTTTGCTCACCAAAAATTCTCTGAAGCAGCAAAATGCCGCTTATATATAGCATGTCTCCGACCGTACAGGAAAGTATGGCAACCCAATCTGTCTGTCATCTCTTAATAACAATCTGGAATTTCCTCTTTCTTATTCTCAACAAGTATATAGGTCAAAAAGAGAAGCTAAAACGATGGAGCTATCCTATTAGAGAATTTAAGTTGGATCCCTTTTATGTCTCCATCTTGCAAGAGATTCAGTCTCCAGTGTATGTGTCTTTGAGAAAACGGTGAGCATGCTCTCCAAGGGAAGAAATATCTCGTTGGCCAGCATCATTGGAAGCAAACACCAACACACCAAAGGAAAGCCACTCTTCACAATATTTCAGTCTGAATGAATCAGAAAATATGCATCTCCATCAGCTGCAGGTTTAAGACAGAATATTTTCTTCAGAAGCATTTCTGCACACTTAATTGGCTGTATCTTTGGCTTTTAAAAACTATCCTTCCATCAGATCACAAAGCTAGTTACCATGGTCACCTATTACCCTGGAAACCATTAGGTACTTCTGTATTTTTAGATTTCACAGTGAAGGGGGTTTTGTTTTGTTTTTTTGGTAGATGATGGATCCGGTTAAAAGCATTGCTCTCCCACCTTATCCCAGAGGATCCCACTGGGCAGTTGGCATTTGAGATGGGTGAGCAGGAGAGAGGAGGGAACAAAGACACCAGAGTTGAAAGTACAAACAGTGTTTGTAGCAGGCTTACAAGACAAACAAGCCCATGCATGTAGTTTCTGCCTGTAGAGAGGCCATTGAAAAGGCTGCTTGGATACTGCAGGAATGAAAAATACAGAATAATGGAAATGAAAAACTCTTCAAGTATGTTTAACTGGTGAGTTTTTCATTAACGCTACCAATAAGCTGGAATGGCTTTTGTAGCCCAAGGCTAAAACTAAGTTCATTCTTAAGGTCTCTTCATGATTTTTCAAACCTCTAATTTTACACATAAATGTACAGTCTTTACATAAAAGCTACGTATTTCAGACTCTCAGCCTGTATCATTATCGAAATCATTCTTGCCTACCTCCTACCAGTTGTGCACTTTTAACAAAGTTTCAGCAGGTGTGATACTTACGCCCTCTGGTGGATGAAGTAAATAAAACATATTTGATTGATGCACAAACTGGAATTAAAAAGTTCAAGCCGTAACACGGCAGCTATCAAGCTTTGTGCTTCATAGTTTTAGAGTGTCTGAATTATGTTATTATCGAGATAAATAGTCATCAATACTTTGTTCCAGCAAATCTATAGTGCCTAAGTTTAGGACAACGAGTTTTAGAATCTTACAGAATAGAGCATTTTGCTCAGGTTCTCTGTGCTCCACTCAGGCTTTACCAAGACCACTTGTGATCTCATTTCATCAGCATTCAGACATCATTTTTCTCAAACAAGGAGAAAAGTATTTGGCAAAGAAGCAATCCTGTATACGCTTTTGGGTGGGTCTGTCTGATTTTCATACTTTTCTATATAGCACCAAGTTTTTTAATAGGGACTCCGTAAGTATTACTAGAGCTGCAACATTTAGTCAACCTATCAGTTACTTCATTCAAAACATTTTGTTAATCTAAAAAGGTGTCTGTGAGAAGAGATGTTTAATGTAAGTTCTTGAAAAAAAATGGCCTCTATGTGATCCTGTCTGGGTTGCGCTGGTTTTCATCACCCTCTGAGATTAAACTGGTGGCAGATACGTGACAAGGTCTTCTGGCTTAGGATTTGATGGTCCCTTTTCTGTGTGGAGCAGGACTTTCTGCAGGTTTTCTATTTAATCCTTTCTGTTTCTGCATCTTGAACTTGTACAACAATTGTTCTGATGGTTTTAGATGCTCTGTCTTGGTAACCATATTATGTCACTTCTCCATTTCAATATAAGAAAATATAAAGTAATGCATATTGAGGCAAAAAAATCAAATCTTTATTTATCAGCTGATGGGTTCTGAGCTGTCCATGACGGATCAGGAAAGAGATCTTGGTGTGCTGGTGGACAGCTGGATGAAAGTGTCAACCCAGTGTGCGGCAGCAGTGAAGAAGGCCAATTCCATGCTAGGTATCATTTAAAGGGGGATTGAAAATAAAACAGCCAACATTGTCATGCCATTGTATAAAACCCTGGTAAGGCCGCACCTGGAGTATCACATACAGTTCTGGTCACTGCACCTCAAAAAAGAAATAGTGGAACTGGAAAAGGTGCAGAAGAGAGTGACTAAAATGATGACTGGGCTGGGGCACCTCCCTTATGAGAAAAGGCTACAGTTTTTGTGGCTCTTTAGTCTAGAGAAAAGGTGCCTGAGGGGGGACTGAGACGTATAAAATTATGCAGAGGATGGATCAAGTGGATAGTGGGAAGCTCCTTTCCCTCTCATGCAAAACCAGAACCAGGGGACATCCACTCAGATTGAGTGTTGGGATAGTAAGAACAAACAAAAGAAGATATCTCTTTACCCAGCATGTTGTTAGTCTGCGGAATTCTTTGCCACAGGATGTGGTGATGGCATCTGGTCTAGATGTCTTTAAAGGGGATTGGACAGATTTCTGGAGGAAAAGTCCACTGCAGGTTACAAGCCATGATAGGGATTGTATAATCTCCAGGCTTAAAAGGAAGGTCCTTCAAAATGCCAGATGCAGAGGACTGGTATCAGGAGACTGGTATCTTGTGTGCTCCCAGAGGCATCTGGTGGGGCCACTGTGAGATACAGGAAGCTGGACCTTTGGCCTGATCCAGCAGGGCTCTTCTTATGTTCTTCTGTTCACTGGCTTTGATTATGGCAGTGTTTTGATTAGTAGACCATATATGTAGAGTATTCCAAGCAAGAAATGACCATCAATTTGTGCAAGATATTGGGGAAACGTTTTCCTTAGAAATCTGCCAGGAGGTGTATTAAGATGTGAAGTATCAGGAAAGCTCAGTTACTCAAGTTTGGGAATTACTGACCTAAGAGATCAAAGATAGCATTTTGAAATGGTCCTCTCAAACCCCCTGAAATAGCATACTAAATTCAGCAACTATAAATGCGCTCTACGTGGGGCTGCCTTTGAGGCTGCTGCGGAAACTACAGGTGGTGCAGAATGCGGCAGCCAGACTACTTAGTGGAGTGAAAAAAGACCAACATATCT